ATGTCGAATGTGAAACCATTGACGTTGTGAGCAGGGATTCTTGGTTGTCTGCCGTCCTAATTCTGTTTCACGTGCCTGGTACTTTTACTTCTAAATTGCCAAGGGATCCTCAGAAAGGGAAAAGCGAAATAAAATCCTTTGCTGATGTGCACAGGATGCTAGTTTTCTTCTGGGGATGTGAAGCAAGCATAAGTGGGGGTATTTATCTCACTTGTTGCTTCACTGCCTGTTTATTTGAGGACTTCTCATTTGGCATGTAAACCTAATTGTCCAGAGGACTCTGAAACTTTTCAGTCTGTCCAGTGGAATTTCTCACAAGCATTTGGGGTCAATCAGCCAGCAGGAATAGGAAGACCATGACATGGATGAACCTAGTAGCATCTTACACAGCAGTCAGCTAACTCTCCTCCACCCTCCCCTCAAGAGGAGTGGAAAACGCTGAATCAGGCGTCTTTTCCCTCACAGTCCGATGATATTGTCCAGCTGAAGTGGATCAGAGCCTCGACCACAGACTTTTACTCTGTCATGTGCTCTGTGGGGCTTTGAGGCACCTGATCCCCCACTGTGGAAAATGGGGCTCTTACTGAGCTGCAGTTGTGGGAAGGAGACAGACTGAGCCGGAGAGAGGCATTTGAGGAGATTAATGCTGGGTGACTGAACTAAGGGACGGGAACCGGGTCCTGCTTTTTTGAGTAGCTGGAGATTAGAAGCCTTATCTATAAACAGTTGTCATGGATGTATTTATTGGAAGGTTCCTGGTCTGATAGTATACAAAGCATTGAGTTCTACTGTAGGCCAGGCCTCTTACACAAGTCAGTGGACTGGGCTGAATGTTTGGTTTAATTTATCTCACGACATTGTTAGTTTAAATTCTGTAAACATGAACTAAGACAATTATTATGAGTGACAGTTGCCAGGGTGTGGATGTATCCAGAGTAGTGTTCTTACGGAGCAAGCTGAGTCACAGCCTTTGGTAGCATTTTAGGAACGAAATGACTCGTGTTGACGTCCTGGACAGTGCTAGAAATTGCTCCCTTGCGCCCAGAGGAAGCTGAGGCAATGAACGCCACAGCGTCCCCAAATCCTCTTCCTGCGCAGATCCTGACTGTGAGGGTAGACAGAATTCGGCACTTCCTCTTTTTTGTTTTTCAACAGTCTCTTGCTGTGGTTTACAGACTGGTTCCAGGCTGACCATGAACTCTGAAAACACCCTGCTTCAGCCTCCAAGGGCTAGCGTGAGAGGCGTCTGCCATAGTATCTGGATACATATGAGTTCTTAGACAGCAATACAATTAAGAGAAACAGAATGGATAGTTATAGTTGTCACACATTTTAGAAATGGAAGTGACTTTAAGGAGGCCCAGAGCTCATTTCATGGAGCACCTCCATGTTGGTACAGTGAAAATAAGAATTTTATTCCCCATACCAGCAGTGTTTTGACTGTTCCAGGCTCCCACACTGCTCTTCAGAAAATTCCTTTGAGAGATATTCAATTTTCATTGCTATTAGCAAAAGATGACTATGCCGAATACATCCTAATTACAAAAACATTTTAGGTGTGGCCAAACCTACTCATGTCCAGTCTGGCCAGATAATATGATTCCCTTGCCAGACTCTGAGATTCCCAGCACACAGTAGGTGTTGAATACTGTTGGGCCAGTCTCTGGGATTTCCAGCACACACTGAATACTTTTGGAATGAGGTCTGCTTGATTGTTTTCCAGCCACCCAGCAACTATGAAATAATCATACAGAAACTGTATTAATTAAATCACTGCTTGGCCCATTAGCTCTAGCTTCTTATTGGCTAACTCTTACATCTTAATTTAACCCATCTTCATTAATCTGTGCATCACCACGAGGTTGTGGCCTACCAGCAAAGTTTCTGTCTTCAGCAGTGGCTCCATGGCTTCCCCCTGACTCTGCCTCCTTTCTCCCAGCATTCAGCTTAGTTTTTCCTACCTAGCTTTGTTCTTCCCTGCTCTGCTGTAGGCTCAAAGCAGGTCTTTATTAACCAGTGATAATCACAGCACACAGAGGGGACTCCCACATCAGATACAAGCAACTTGAGAAATACTGGCCATGAAAGTTGTAAGCTGTTTTCATTTCTGTGAGAAATGCTTTTTAAGACATTGGTTTTCTTTCTTTCTTTTTTTTTTAATTTTATGACTTATTTATCTTTATTTTATGTGCATAGGTGTGAAGGTGTCAGATGCCCTGGAACTGGATTTTCAGACAGTTGTGAGCTGTCATGTGGGTGCTGGGAATTGAACCTGGGTCCTCTGGAAGAGCAGTCAATGCTCTTAACCGCTGAGCCATTTCTCCAGCCCCAAGACATTGGTTTTCATTTTGATAAATTTTAATGGAAGTCCCGTGAACACTCTTTAATTTTAATACAGACACAAACTGCAGCAGAAGACACTGAAAAACTTAAATCCGCTCCTTCACGTTGGTTTCATGTTGTAAGAGGACACCGACATCCCTTTGTTCTGCCTGTAGCAGGGTGTACTTCTGCTTCTGAGCATTTGCTTGTTATTTTTAAATGTGCCTTGCACGTGTTATTTTACTTTGTAGTACTGAGAAGAGAAACACAGGAAGAACTCAGTTACAGCCACAGAACTCCTCTCTGAGAGCATGGCTGTGAGCTGCCCTATTGTCTTGTGTGTATCAGTGACCTCAGATCATCGTAGAGAGCTGTAGATGTTCTCTACTGAATGGTGAAGCTTTTGCTCATCATTTGAGTTGTTTGTGTGGTGTAGTGGACAGTCTGGGACACAGGAGGAGAATAGTCTAGAGGGAGGTGGCTTATGAGTCAGAGTGTAATCACCTCTTACATTTTTCTTATAGTTCATGGGCCCCATAGATCCTGGTCTGGGATGGTTTCTCATGTGCTGTTTATGGCTGACTCGTGGAGACGCCTCCAGCAACCGCATGATGGCTGAATTCTTTAGTCAGATAATAAGCCGTTTAGTAGCTTTTTGAATGCACTTACAATTCTCTTTATAATTTTTATAAAATTTTATTTTGTTTCTAATTATATGCATGAGTGTGGGTCTGAATGTGCGTATGTGCATGTTAGTGCAGGTATGCACAGAGGACAGAGAGGCACTCTTCTCCCCGGGAGCAGGAGTTAGAGATGGTTGTGAGCCACCTGGCATGATGTCTGCAAGGACAATGAACCTTGACCATTGAGTCTTCTCTGCAGCTTCTCCTGTTGTATCTTTGTCAGTAGAGCATACTCCGAGTGTCTGCTTATAGTTTTAACAATAACCGTTGTCACACTTTGCTGTAATCAGTTCAACACTCCTCAGCCACCCTATTTGTAAGCTCGTCACTCCTCACAGTTGCCATCGTAGACAGAAAACCGTTAGACTTTTCAGGGCAAGACAACTGAAGAGTGGAGCCGTTTGGCAAATGGGCTGAGGTGGTGTCAGATTTCAAGCAAAGATGAAGAAAAGCACACGACTGTTCAATAATACCACCATATTTGGCACACGAAAAAATATTTATTTTTTAACATAATTTGTTGTATGGAGGAGCGGGTCACATCCCGCCGACTGGCTAGCTTACACCCGAAATAACCTCACAGAAATTGTATTAATTAAATTACTGCTTGGCCCATAATCTCTAGCCTCTTATTGGCTAACTCTCACATCTTGATTCAACCCATTTCTAATAATCTGTATGTCACCACGAGGTCATGGCTTACCGGGAAAAATTCAGCATGTCTGACCAGGCAGCTTCATGGAGGCTCTCCCTCTGTCTGACTCTCTAGAATTCTCTTCCTCCTAGAATTCAGTTCTGTCTACTCCGCCTACCTAAGTGCTCCCCTATCAAAAAGCCAAGGCAGTTTCTTTATTCAACCAATGAAATCAACACATAGACAGAAGGACAGAAGAACCTCCTACACCAATAGTTCTTTATTGATTCTTTGCAATTTCACATCATGGACCCCAATCCCTCTCACCTCCCAGTCTCTCCGTATCCTTCCCTTACCCCTGTGGTATGCTCCCCTAAAGCCCCACCAACAAATCAATTCAAAACAAAATAAAACAGACAAAAAAAAAAAGCCCAACTCACTCTTCTGTTTGTCCAACACCTCTTCATTCATCATTCAACCTCGCGGCGTTGTGTGCTGCGGTGTGTCACATAATATACCCTTTTTACAATTGGCCCCATCCAGAAAGTGTTCAGTCAGTAGTCTAGGTCAAAGCCTCTGGCACCCCATCATCACCGGACCTCACAGAAACTCCTCTCACACATCCTGTTGTTGCCCCAGTCATGGAGATCTTGCGGCTCTCATTCCGCAGGACCAGTTCCTTCACACACTTCAGCAGGTCATAGATGTAGTAGATGTTAGAATGGGAAAATTGGAGGGCCAGAATTTGGGTTTGGGTGGCAGCTGAGCTGATCTGTACAGCTCTCGGACACCAACATGGCCTAGACCTTAGGCATCCATGTGCCTTTGGTGATATCATGGGCCATGGACATCAGCATAGACCCTGGCTGTGAGAGGACCCATCCATGGTCCTCATCAGCAACCTGGGTTTTGATGTCATCAGGGCCCCAGGTGGCAGCACAGGCTTCTCAAATTGGCATCGCTCCAGCTGCAGGATGCCTCTTGGACCCCAACTAAACTCCCCAGTCCCACATAGGTTGGGCATCCCCACAACCCCCGATGGTAACAGGCACTGTAGATATCAACACAGTCTCTGGCTACAGTAGGACCCACAGATGGCCCCTGACTGCAGATCAAGCTGACTTGACTCCATGGCCCTGGTGACATGCCAGACGAACCAGACTGGGAGAATCCCTGTGGTGGTATGGCCCTTGGTCACCTAGTTAGCCACTTGGGGCAGCCCCAATCCCAGGACTCCTCAGAACCCTTGAAAGTAACAGAGGCCCAAGACATGTACATGACCACGGGAACAGTAGGTCCAGAGATCCAGACATGGCCCTTGTCAGCAGCCTAAGACGTGATGACACCATGTCCCCCAGTGGAAATATATGGAACACTTTATGAATTTGCATGTCATCCTTGCCCAGGGGCCATGTCAGTCTTCTCTGTCTGGTTCCAGTTTTTGTGTGTGTACTGTCAAAGCCAGCACTCTTCTTTCTTGTTAAAGATGGATAATAAGTGAGCTCATGTGTTGAATGAGGTTACAGCAACCAGTTCTCTGTTGTCAAACAGACGGACCCCAAACCCTAGCTAACTATAACCTGACATCAATCTCCTTCTAAGTAGTAAGTACCAAGATGTCCACTGCCTTTATTTCAAGTTGATGGCAAGTGCTGACGTCATGTAGGTTTTCATTATAGCAAAGTCCCTTTGTCCAATTAACAGGTCAGCATGTAGAGTGCTTTATCTTGCTTTGTATCCTAGAAGAGCCAACCCCGTGTTGATTATAGAATGTTGATAGAGTGTCGTTTTCAGGGGTACCCTGGATGGACGTTACTTGTGATTGACATATTGCACAATTTGTAAAGCACAACCCTGTATAGCAGTTTTAGAGTAGAAGCTGCCATCATTTTTAGATGACTCACCTGAAACCTCGAAAAAGCACGAGGCGTTACCCGTAACCCGGAGGTGAGCGTGTCCTCTATCTGGGACTTGTGTCCAGACCGTTTGGTATAGAGTTCTGCAATCTTGGTGCTATACTGTACCTGCCTCTTTCATGACAGTATGAAGTTGTCTTGGCAGTTCATAGTGTGTTCATACATCTGTACAACTCCTTGTGAGGGACCAGCTCTGGTGGACCCCATCACTACCACTATAACCAGCCAGATGACATCACCTGAAGACAAAGTCATCCCCATGTTAGACAAGCAGCACCATTCAAAGACTCTGCGTAGAGGCTGAGGAGATGGTGCAGAATTTAGATCACTTTCTGTTGTTGCAGAGGACCTGGATTCCCAGCACCCACATCCGGTGGCTCTGTAACGCCTGTCCCAAGGATACAACATTCTCTTCCAGCCTATGAGGGCACTGGGACATGTCGTACCATACATGCCCGAAAGTGAATTCACAAACGCATAAAATAAAATGAAAAACGACACTATGTCGTAATGCATTAGCCAATTGACAAGGAACATCTATAAAGCTATGTTCTGAATGGGTGTCACCCAAAGTCCCTGTTGAATAATTTCGAACTTAAATGAGAAAAGAATTTATGTGCTCATATTATAATTTAATTGAACCTTGGTTATAGACAAAATTACCACTGTTTTCTCTAGGAGTGATGCTTTATGTCAGTGGCTGAAGTCCAATCCTTAGGAATGTTCAGACGTTCCCACCAGTTTTATTTTTGTTTTTTCCTTATGATTCATTTTTAGGTCCAATACATAACTTTTTAAAATACTAGAACCATTTCCATGTGCCATATATAAGTTGTAGTTGGCTAATAGATATCGTTGGGAGCCTTGCTGATGTCATGGTGATGTTTGTGCTGTGAGATCTTGAGAAATACTACCATATATTAAGTTTATACATTCTAAAGTGGTCCGAGTTTGATGGAAATCAAACTTGTTTTCTTGTAATGAAGTCTTTTTTGGTAACAAATGTAGTTTTGACAATTCAAGGAGTGTAGTTTCTTGGTAAATGGTGACAAAATTTTAAATCTTTGTTTTGTATTGGGACAGTATCTTACCATGTACTACCCTCTGGCTAGCCTAGAATTCACCATGTAGATCGGGCTTGCCTCAAACTCACAGAGATAGACCTGTGATTGTATCCTAAGTGCTGGGATCAAAACTGTGTCCTACCATGCCTGACTCAGCTTACTTCTTTACTCCAGTGGGCACTAAACCCCACAGATTTCCTTCTGGCCTCTGCATCCATAGCTGCATGTATACAGTTACACACATTAAACCCTGTGCACAGACGTAATTGCAAATAAAATAAACAAGCGTTCATGCACTGCCATTTGTCACATTGTTTAATGAAATAAAACTAGAATATGAGAAACCTTTACATTAGGACTCCTTCATCCCTTGGTTAGCAGAGATTTTGCTAAGATTCTTATGAAATTTTAGTGTCTTTATTCCCAGGTTCTGAGACCTTTTGACAGATAGATTTGATCACGTCCAGGCTGCCATCCTTTCCCAGTTCTGGGTGTCTGGAAATTTGATCAGCATGCTGTCATCTATCCTGACATGGAAGCGTCTGGTAGTACTCAGCTGTTTGGTGCCAGACAAGTTGCTGGCCCCAAGGGTTTACAGACATCCAGTGTTGCTATCCTCGGTGAGCTCACTCTTCACAGAAAAACTCAACGACAAAGGGGTGGGGTGGAGCAGCATTGATGCTGTCCTTGGAGCAGACTGTTTGCTAAACACAGAGGGAAGAACGAATCCATTCTGCATGATGAGTGGTGGCTGGCAAAGGCCTGTGGAACGCTGGCATCATGCAGGTGCAGGTGTAAGCCTGGCAGAGTCCTGAGTGAGGTAAAACATGCTGGCATTCAGGAGGGAGACATGGGAAGAACATAATTTTCAAGGCAAGCCTTAGCTTTAATGAGTTTGAAGCCAACCTGGGCTACATGAAACTTCGTCTAAAAAAACTACAGCAAAATCAAACAAATTTCCAACCCATGCAAAGGGGAGCTAACATTCAAGGTAGCAGACGACCGAGCAATGAGGAACTGCCATGGCATAGAGTTGTTGTAATATGTCTGGGCAGTTTCCTGCACCACCAGCTTGATTAGAGCTTTTGTTCTTGTTTGTAAGTTTTTAAAATATGAACCACATTAAGAAACATGGTTTGCATATTAATTTAGAAAGGGTGTATGCTAACTGCATTCTGCTGTTGCTTCGTGGGATGGCTTTTCTGTTGTACTGTTAGAAACTGGACGTTAGTGTCGTACAATCCATGGAGTGACTAAGCCTTCGGCTAGAACTCGTGCGTGTGTGTGTGTGTGTGTGTGTGTGTGTGTGTGTGACACATGTAAATGAGTGAATGGGTGCACATGTGCAGGAGAAGGCCACTTGGGCCTGTTTCAGGTCATGGCTGTCCTTGCGCTATCACTGTCCAGCATCCAGTGGACCTCAGACCTCTGGACTCTGTCTTCCTTGCGGTTGACTTTGGGTCTCAGGCTTCCCTAGGTGTCATCTTTCCCCATCTCTGCGTTGGCCAGGCAGCCCTCTGGTCACTGGATTGCTTTGTGTGTCTCTACCATGCCGTAGTTCCTGTTCCTGTAGCAAGTGCATGAGTGCAGCCTCTCCCTTGTGACTGAGTTTGGCTTGTGCTTTCCGACTTCAGCTTGTAGTCACTTTGCTCCGTTGCCTTTGATCCTGCAACAGGGCTGCACATGTGACAAAGGGTGGGTGACAGAGGAAGGTATCCAGGAAACTGAGATGGGGCAGGATAGATAGGAAGAGAAGGGTGAAGGGTGTGGATTCCCCTTCACAGACACACCTCCAGTGACCTAAGTTTTTCCACAGAATCCCACTTCCTAAAGGCTCCGACTTCTCCCAGTAGTGTGCTGTCAAATGTCGAGAGGGTCTTTGGTAGACGTTCAGTGAAACTATAACTGCATTTAAAAAATCATATTGCACTATCTCTTGCCCTTTGAATCATTTAGCAACTTCCCAAAGGGAGTGTGATATATAGTGCATGCATCTAGGTTCCCTGGGGTATGATTATTGCTCTTCCTTTTCAGCCATAGCAAATATCTCTGTGATAGACCTGGGTGGCTGCTCTCTCTTCTGCTCAAGGTAGCTTTTCGCCCTTGTAGAACTAATGGTCCAGTTGTTTCTTGTGATTATTCCAGAGATGAATTTCATGTTTTAAGGAAGAGGTTAAATGCTACAGGCCAAACAAAATGCTTGTGTGTGTGTGTGTGTGGCCCATGAGCTGTAAACAGTTAGTACATTTCTCATATTTGTTATAGTTTAAAGAATAGTAGTTTGTATCAGGTGCAAATTACATAAAAGTCAGATTTAGTATCCAGCAATGAGACCCTTATTGGAATCTAGTATCATCCATTTATCTAATTTTTTCCCAACTTTTCCCATTCAATCAGCCAAGTTGAGTAGCTGTGTAAGATAGCATGTGACCCACAAAGAATGAAGTATTTACTCTCTGGCCCCTTATTGTGGGGGGGAGACCACATCTTAAAATAAGTTTCAATTTTCATTTCAGTAATGACATCCAGACTTAATATTCTTGGTGATTTGGCAACTGTATTTTTCTATTCTGTGTTGCGGTAGCAAAATAACCAAGCCTGCTTACAAGCTAAAGGAACTTATTGGGTTCATGATTCTAGCTGGAAAGTCCCAAAGAGACTGTGCTGGTTGCTTCATTCTGCCTGCCTGGTTGTATCACAGCATGTCAGATTGACAGAAAGGGAAGCAGACAAACAAAGGAGGGTACCTGTAGGAAGGGGGCCAGAGAAACACAGGGGAGGTACCTGTGCCACACTTGAGTTGTAACCCCCCAGTGTTCAAAGTCCTGCTCTCTTAACAAAGGAACAGATCACCCTCTTGGCTTCCTGCCCCAGTGTGAGACAGAGTCTTGTGTAGACCAGGCTGGCCTCAAACTCACTATGTAGCCAAAGATGACCTTGAGTTTCTGATGTTCTGACTGTACCTCTGAGTGCTAATATCTGCCAGCATGCCCAGTTTAGCCTTTCTAGAGATTGAATCCAGGATGTCCTGCATGTTGGTCAAGAGCTCTACCCACTTAGCTACACTCTTGGTCCCTTTAGAGACCTAATCACCTCCCACCCTTTGAACGTTCTTCCCTCTGCCCATTGGAACTGGAACCAAGCTTCCCACACAAGTACCTTTGAGCAGCGTGCGTGGTCCTGGAACCACAATCGTTTTATTCTTGGGAACCATAGTATTTCTAGAAAGATCAACTTGGGTGTGACTTTGCATCTTGGTGGCTACAGCTCGTATTTGTAGCACAAACACCAAGTTTTCCCATTTCTGTCCTGTTTGTTTTCATGAAACGCTTCCCCTGACACAGCCTTCACCGTAGCTTCTCTTCAAGGGTATGGTTTGCCGCAGGAAAGTCAGAGGGGAATGGTGAAGAACTGCTTGTGTGAAATAGTCAAGGGAAAACCACTTGTGCAGATTCGGGTTTCAGATCTCACCCGGAATTGCCAGATAT